CCAAAGATGCTCTCTTTTTTCTGTCATGAGCTCTGCTTCGGAGGTTGGCAAACAACTGGCAACCACTATTGTGTGTAGAGATGGAGAATCACTCCCCCTAGGCAGGGGACAGTGTTTGATATGATGACATGGTTTATTATGATTTATAAAACAACATGTGTTTCATAGAATCAAACATTCTATGTTCTAGGAAAAGGATGTTGCAAACGTGTGCACAGAATGCTGGGCATTCGGAGAGAAGGAGCTGCTGAGGCCACCTTCGCCCTGACTTGCAGCTGCTGTGGGTGTCCTGGCTTTGGTGAGCAGCCCGCCTTCCCTCCTGGAGCTTGGCCCTGAGTCTCTGTTTCAGACTTTGTTCCCATCGCCACTTAACTACTGTGAAATAGACAGGGTCCTCTTCTGTCCTTTCCAACACTGTGCAGCGTGTCATCATTGTTCTAAACCTTGGATTGTTTATCTGGCACTTTTATGAGTTCCGTAGGTGACGTGCAGACTTCAGTTCCCAGCCCTTTCCTTACAAAGGCTCTTCCTCCTGACGATGGGCCCGAGTCTTCCAGGCTGAACTGCAGAGCTGGCATCGCTCTTGGTACAAAAGATTCATGATTTCTGTTGAACCCAGCTGGACTCAAAGCAAAGCTTCCTATCACATTTAAAAGTGTCAAATTAGAGGGCCAGGGAGTTAGCTCAGTGTCTGCGTGACAAGCACAGGTCCTGTGTTAGATTCCAGGTAACAAACAAACAAACAAAAAAAAAAAAAAAAAAAAAAAAAAAATTAAACTCACAATAGACATATCTTAATCTAAGTAGTTGAATGGAAAAAACTGAGTGTAACTTCTTGAAAGCAAATTCAACCTCAGCCATAAAAAGCCAATATAGTGCAGTGAGAACCTAGAAACAGTCCTGGGGTATAAAGAGAGGTCCGTGTTCTCCTCTGGCTGAGGCCCTAATGTCTGAGCACAGGCGATTCTCTTCTTTCGGGAGCTTCCTCTCCTCACTGTGAAAAGTACATCGAAGAATTTCATTATGGCTCCTGCACGCTGAACTATCGACACTGTCATCACTGCTGTTTTCCTTTCTTATTCTTATCACGCTTTACCCCAGCCGGGGGCGCATGTCCTTCATGAGGCTCTTTCCTTCCTCCTTTTCCCTAGTATGTAGCCCTTCCCACTCATTACCACTAAAACATCACCATTACCATCGTCCTGTGAGCTCCCCGAGGCAGAGGCTGTGCATCTTTATTCATCCTTCCATCCCTAGAATGTAACACAGGTGCTGGGACATGGTAGGTGCTCAGAAAGTGTGCGTGAATGCATGAATGTATGAATGAATGAATGAGCAAGTGGGTGAATTTGCTTATCTCAGAGCAAAAGAGACATGAAATGGTATTTGAGTTTTTATGGTAAAGCAGCCAACAAAGCCCATTTAACCTCGGGGTCTCTAAGCAAACAGGTGTGGCTCCCTCCTTCCTTGCTTACAATCTCTTCAGAGCAGTGCTGTCTCACAGAAATTCCCAGTTCTGCAGAAAAACTCAATCTTAAATTTTATTTCATTTCAAGTAACTTACATTTAAATAGCTAAGGAGTCCATTAGCTACTGCATTAAATTGTAAAATTTTCATGTAATGTTTTAGTGCAGCTATAATTAGTAAATGTTTGCAGTATGTAGTATTTATTTTCATTGTGAGAAGTTCATGCACGCACATCACTCATCTCAAATGCTCTTACATCCTCTTCCCTACAATTGCATCCTGATTGCCTATTTTACTTTCCCCCTGTACTCCCTGCTCACTCCATCCCTTGATTCCCTTCCCATGTAAGAATGATTTCTCTTTCTACTTCCCATTATTTAACTTTTGTCTCGTTACTTATATTTCAAAGTTTCTTGTCTAACAGCAGACATTTTGTCAGAATTCCACGGTATTTTAGAATCCATGTTTGCAGAGTAGTTGCGAATTACCCTCTGAATTGTCTCTGTAGCCCCACTCTTGATATTGCCACATTGTGATCAAGAGCTCAATTCTTGGGTCTTTGGGGGTACTTCCTCTTTAAACCATGGCAACCCTTGCTTTAACATCCTCACTTCTATCTATGGATAGGGTTGCTAGGAAGACTAAATTTCTTAGGTGTAAATAAAGTCCTGATAATAGAGCACAGCCTATCTGGAGTGAGTAACTGAGTGTGACCTATTACTACACTGCTGGGCTGGCCTTTCTCACTGTGGGAAAGTGAAGGCGAGAGGGAGAGGCAGAAGGGCTGTGCTGAGTCAGGTGAGTCTCTTCTAAGCTCTGCATTCCTCACAGTTCTATCTTAAATTTGGACAAGAGTAGAAATATTCACACCACAGTAAAGGGCTTAATCATAGAGCCTATGAATTTGCAGTATCTGTCAGTCTATAAAGGGATTTTTGCTCCATGAGAGTAACAGAATATATAGTTAGCAAGATTGTTGAAGGACTCTTAAAGTGGGGTGAAATCTGCACTGTGAAATTGTGCCTCTTAGGGATACCTGAAAAATGTGCAGGACCTCTGCTTACCACTCTTCAGCTAATACCTTCTCCGACTCCCCACCAGTGTATCCACAAATACATGTGTTAAAGGCCAAACTTAGCTGTTATTTGGGGACCTTGGTCAGACTTTACATCTCTTTAGCATACACAAGGGAACAAATACCTTGGGACCTTTGCTGTGGCCACACTGAGTTTCCTGCACTGTGTTCCATCCCATGCTACTCTTAGGGTGAAAAACCCTTCTCCGATTTCTGCCATCTCTCAGGGCAAGTCCGACCTCATCACCACCGTGAGCCCAGTGGAGACTCAGTTCCTCTCTCCCTCTTCTCTTCCAAGCCCCACTTTCCTCACACTCCTTGAACAGCAAACTCTTCTGCCTGCTTTCAGACCTCTGATGTTTAGCAAGATAAAAGATGGGATGTCCACCATGGGTAGAGAAAAAAGTGCTCTGAAAATCAAGCATGAACCTAGATGGACTCCCTCCTTTGCCCAGCCTTCTTCGCTGCCTTTTATTTTCTTTTTGAAAGAAATGATTGCTGTTTTGTGATTATGGTTGTCAGATGCTTCCATCAAAAAATCAGCTGGCTCTCATGTAAACTAGCTCCATCTCTGCAGGGGGCACTAACAGGACAGGCAGAGAAGATTTGCAAGAGATAAAGGTAAAAATACCTGATTCCACCCACAGTTCTTTATTTATATAAAGCAAAATGCCCACCCCAACTTGTCTGAACCCATACATGAAATTCCAAAATCAGCATCTAATTCTGTTTGGCAGGTGGAAAGGTACAAACATTCTGACCTCTCTCACATTGTTCCCGGGGAAAGAACCTTCCTTAGGAGCAGTCTCTGGGAATTCTGTCACATCCCTGGAGGCTTTGCTGCTCCTCCCCCAGGTGGAGAGCAATGTGCCTCAGTTCTGATGTTTATCAGCTGGGTGGACAGAGCCCACCTCTTGTCTCCCTTGTCTCTGTCTCTGCACTCAGCAGTTGAATCCTCTGTGCATGACAGATGCTCTGTGAATACTCTGCATATCGTGGCCAGTGGGTCTCCCCCAAGGAGTCTGAGGATGGAAACTGTAAGGTGTGTGGTCAGGAAGGCATCTGCCTTGCACCACTGCCCGGGCTTCTCACAAAACCCACAACGAAAGGCTTTGTATTTACAGGTGGAAAGCTGAGGCCCCCAATCATGGATAATTGTTACAACCATGCCTTCCAGCTTAATGTATTTCACTTAAATTAACAGGTTTTTAAAAGCTCATTTGTCATTTACAAACTAATTCTAAAACATTAGCTCTTTGTAAATGTTTCAAACAATGCAGATCATGCAGAAAGACTTTGATATCTCATTTCTGTTTGTAGCCTAGTGATAATAGCTATTTTGAGATAATAACTATCATCTGCTTTTCCAATCTTCTAGGCTTTTTCTACTAAGGTTATATACACACATGTACATAAGTAGGTTATCTTATGTTGTATCAAAATTTACATGCAAGGAATATTGTCAATATTGTTCTGATTTGCTTTTTAAAAATCATATAATTTATCTAGGAGACAAATAGACTTGCCTATCAATGGGATATTTATCTGATAGCAGCACATTTGATCTACTTTATTTAATGCACTGTAGGTTACTTGAGAGCAGGCTTTCCCAAATTGTTTACCAGTAAACAAGTTTCCAGGTGCATCCTGACGATCTTCTTTGTGGGTGTACATAAACACTTCGCTAGGAAGCTATGCTCTGGTGGCACTGGAAGGTGTTAGGGACCTCACCCTGAAAATATTAAGGAAGCCCATCCAATGATGCTCCATCCACGTGGGCTTCACCAGGTTTCATCTCCATCACTGAAGGTGGAGCCTTTGAATAAATCCTCACAAGGACTGGATGTTATCGGCATTTTGAATACTATTTGTTTATTGCGTTGCATATCTCATCTTATGTCCCTTGTCCCTGGTTACAAACAGACTTCACATTTTGAGTTCCTTATTAAAGGGAGTGTTCAGGACCTTTCTCCCTTCTTTCGGCATGGAGAGAACGTTCACCCAAGATGCTTCTGTCCAGTCCTGGCTCCTCTCACTAAGCCCCTTCCTCAGCCCTCCTGTACGGAGAAAAGTTATTCCTTTGGTTGGTTAGTAGCTGGCACCTTGTGCCTATTTGTGGTGGGGGCCCATGGGCACAGTTCTCCCTTACCTACCCAAATTTTCTTGTCTTGTCCTTTTGTGGAGCTGCCCCAAGGCAGCCCACTGCACACCCTGTTGCTCCAGCTCCTTTTCATTCAGCTGCCTGAGCAGGCCATGCAAGGATCACCCTACAGATGCAGGCACACATAGCTTTTATGTTATGGATAGGCAGCTTGCCTTCTGTATTCAGGGCAAGAGTAAAACTCAGATCACACCTGGTGGATGAGAATGTGTGGTTACAAAGGTTCACTAGAAGACAAACAATCAGAGGTTGCAATACAAACAGTATTATCAATAAGAGGTCATCACAAAAAAATATAGTTTCTTAAAATAGAGTTTACTTCATTACATTAATTTCAACAGCAAAGAATGTGAAATGCAGACTTGTCTAAACTCTCTTGCTGATTCTCTTGAGAGTTATGTCACCCATTTGGAAGGTCTAAAAGCCAGAAAAGAAATCATAAAATGTTTCCCTGATATGAAAGAGTAAAAAAAAATAACTAATAATTTCATGGTTGATGTCCACACTATCCCGGCTGAGGGATGCTCCCACTAAGAACCTGTGGACCACAGTTTCCTGGGCTGGGTCCTGCCTTCTATGATTCCCTAAACCACTATTTAAGGGACAGAGTTGCAGATTAAAGACTGCCGGTTCACTGTGTAACTGGGAGAGGCTGTGGCCAAAGGCCAAGCACTGAAGTCTGTGTGAAGTGAGGTGGGGCATTCAGAGGAGAGGACAGCAGGGTGTCCTCCTGTATTACAGCTTTCAAATTTATAAACAGTCACAGAAATATTACATTTAAGCACCCACCTCATAAGTTCTGAGTCTGAGTGCTTCCCAAGGGAATAGCTGTGGGTAGCAGTCCCAAGAGCCTGGCCAGCTCAGAGGAACCAGGCCCTGCCCTTCCATGGCTGTTTATACCTCAGTTTCCCCTTTAGAAAACTGCAGTTGGGAAGCTTAGAGATGCTGTGCAAACTACCTGATACACAAGGAACCTCAGGGATGTGCTAACAGATATAGAAAGGTGGGGAATTTGGGGTTCAGGGAAGGAAGTGAGGCAGGGGGTGAGGTGGGGTGCAGCTGTCCATCACCCTTCACTTCCTCCTCCTCCTGCATCAGCACCCAGAGTCACTTACGCTGGTCAGGGTGTCCCCATTGAGTTCAATCATGGCCTTGACATTTTTGGAAGTTGTCACCAGCTTGTTGTCTCCTTCCATGTTAACCACAGCCTGTCAGAGACAGAGAGGCCTGTGAGGCAGGGTCTGTAGAGAGCGAGACCCTTGCTAATGAGTTGGTTCCCCTTTGCAGGTGTCAGCTGATGATAGCCAACACAGTTTGGTCCCTGTGCTCCTGAGCCTCATGTTAACAGGGAGAAGAACATGGAAGACAGAGAGAAAACATCAGGACATCTCTGTCAGACTTTGGTTTATGCTGTGGGATCTAGAAAAGAGCACAGGACAGCTGAGTGGTGCCCAGGACAAATACTGGAACACAAGCACAGAGGTCTCAGCTCTGCAAGCCAGAGGAGGGAGGCGGAATCAGAATTCAAGGTGTGCACACATATTGCTCTGGTCTGCTTGGGACCTCCGGGAACACCCATCATCTCTGTTGTGTTCTCCTCTCTACCCTGAGCCACCCAGGAGGAGGAAGCACAGAAACACGACCAGGAGCACAGGATTGCGCCGAGCTTGAAAATTCCCCTCCATGGACACTTTGAGAAGGCCCATGGGAGAACCATGATGGCTGTCTCTTCCCATAGGCACAACCCAAGAAGTCCTGAAATGTGCTCCAGTCTCCAGTGTGACATCTGCAGAGGAGAAATCAAGAGCAATAGGAAGAGGTGGGGACAGCACATTGAGCTCACTGCACAGAGTCATCTGGGGAGCACCGGGGTGTGAGGTGTGTTATGGGGAGGAGCAGAGGTCAGGTGCTGGGTGTCATTGAGTCCTGGAGCTCCAGACCTGTGGGGATGGAGCTGCCCTGCCCACTGCCTTCAGCATGGCAGGCTGACCTCTCCTTTGCCCAGATGAGGGATCCATGGCCATCAGCTTAGTGAAGAGGTTTTTTCTGAGAGCCTGCCTAAGCCTTGAGATTCTGGTGTTGTCAGCACTCTTCCAAATTGTCTTATCCAAGACTGCTCTAGACTCAACTAAGGCCACAGTGATTTGCTGTGGGTTAGGGGTTTTAACTGACTCCTCCCACACCTATTGCCAGAGGAGTTTCAGGGGAATTGAGAACCTAGGAGCCTGGTCAAAAAATTTGAGACTTGGAATGCTGCTTTGTGCTTGGTTCCCTCAGTGTGCTCTCACAAAGGAGACCTCATGTTTGGGGGCCAGAACCCCAGGAAGCCCTGGGAATACAAGAAAAGCTTTCCTCTGGGGTCTCTGCTTTTCCCAAGATGTGAGTTTAAAAATAGGGTGTTCAGCGTTGGAGCTTTGAGTCATGGGAACCTTGAGGGAGGAAACCTTAGACCAGGCTTCAGAGAAGTTCTAGAAACAGCATGGCAAAGGGGCTCCTCCTACCTTGACCTTCTCTCCAGTTATGCTTTCCATCTCACCCTCCTCGCCCAAGGTGAAATCATTGTGTATCACTTTGGACCCAGAAGTGATGGTGAACTTGAAGTGCTTCCCATTCTGCACGATTTCGATCATCCCCTTGGCGTCTTTCCCCTTCTGGATGAGGTCCTCTGGCAGCCCTGGTGGAAACCATGTGAGGTTTAGAGACAGCAGATGAGGAATCACATGGCCAAGTTAGACAAGAGAAGCTGTTACATTGACAGGATGATGTCACAAGCACTGGGGAGCTGGGAGCATCAAAGGCTGTAGAATTGGCCTGGCAAGGAGCGCGGCCTGGCATGGCTGTTAAGGCCTAGATCCTTTCTTCTCCATGAGGAATTCCTGCTTCATTCTCTATCTTGCCGCGTGCTCCTTCACATGCTGGTGGCTCTGCTGTGGGCCTGTAAGCAATTTGTCCTCTACACCTAGTGGAACCACAGAGTTCTTCTGCCAAGCTTGGTCTCTCAAAGCAGAAGTGACAGAAGGGGCTGCTAATAATTAGGCCAGGACACCATGTAGAAAGCAGCTCTACGCCAGGGTAACTTGAGGTCTTATAGAATGGAGTTTCAAGTGATTTTCTTACAGCATGAGTGGCAGGTCCTGTTGCACAGAGAAGGGACTCCAGACATTAAAAGCAGGTGACTCGTGGATGGAAGAAGAGCCGAACCCCAGGCTTTCCCATGTCCATGCTGTTTCCTTTCTCTTCTCCTCTGCTCCCTCCGTGGCCACACTGCAGCCTCTGCTCACAGAGCTCTCTCTGCCTGGAACACCCTCCCCTCCCCAGGGGCTTAGGGGCACCTGCTCATCTTCCCAGCCTCCCCTTCATTCACCCATCTCTCTCTCCACACTCCTCACTGTGGGAGGCAGCAGGTTAAAGCCAGGGCCCTGGGAAGCAGAGCCTGCTTCCAGTCCCAACCCAGACACTTCCTGTCATGTGGCTCAAGTCAGGCCAGCTTACCTTTCTCAGCCTGGATTGTAAAGGGGGAAAATAATTGTACCCAACTCAGATCAACTGGTGAGGATTAAATGAGTCATTGCATAGTAAGTGCTCAGCTCCGTGCTTGGTACAGAGCCACCCTTCTGCATATTAGGAGTAACCTGCTACAGTTGGTTCTGCTTTTGAGTCTCTCTAAACTGTGACCGTGGAAGTCTGGTTCTTCATTCTTAGTTTCCCCGCTATGGGTCCAGCACAGAACTTGACATGAGGTTGCCCTTGAACGCGTTAGAAGGTGCATGAGTGAATATGTGAATGCACACATGCACACATAAATGAGTGAACAGGGTCTCCCTAGAAGTGTCAGTCAACACTTCTTCCAGATCACTTGTTCCAGATCCCATCCAGCTGAGTGCTGTTTCCACTTGCCTTTTGGTAGCCTTGTCCAGTGAGTAATGGCACCAGTGACAAGACATCAGTGAACTTTGTAAAGTGAACTTTCTCTGTAAAGTGAACTTTGCCTCCCTTCCCACCTGACACTGAATTTCCACTGCCCATAGAGGCCAGACCTTCTCTGCAGTGACTAGTGTTCTTTGAGACCTGTGTAGCACTCACCCGCTGCTTTCATGAAGGCCTCAAAGTTTTCCTGTCTCTGCAGTTGGTACTTGCCGGTGAAGCTCATGGTGGCAATGAGGCTCCCTCTCTACTGTGGGTCCACAGCTCTGGTGGCCTGGCTGTCCACTACTGGCCATTTTATAGGGGCTCCTTACCCTCATTTTCTTTGTCATCAGGTTCAAATATTAACTGCCAAGAACAATGATTAATGATAAGAAAAATCTGGGAGGGGCCCAGTAGCGTTTTGCTCTAATTCAGCAAATATTAAAGGGCTACGAATGCAGAGCCCAGGGCCCTCTAGTGTTTAAGGTGACATTGCACTCCTCATGACCTCAGTATGCGTGTGCGTGTGCATGTGCGTGTGCGTGTGGTGTGCATAGTATACACATACTAAGTAGATCACAACTTACAGGCCATATTTAAATTTTTAAATGTACTAAGTAAAAGCTACATGGTCATCATTTCTCCTAAAATAGCCCCACTTGCTTCAAACACTCATCACTTCAGTCTTGCCACTTTCGGAAGCAGTTCTGGAAGTCTTCCTTTGTGGGTGTCCTCATGAGAGATGATGAACCAATATGGTACATGGTTCTGCTGAGTGCCTTCCCGTGGCAGGCTCTAAAAACACCATGGTGTGACCTCAGCCTCCGTGTTCCCCTCCTCTGTCTGGCAGAGTGCAACTTCTGGCTGTTCCCCAGAGTCCAAAGGATCATGAAAGGTAAAGCCCTTGAATCAGTGCAGAACATGGTGCAGTGATGATAGTGGGACTGAAGACATGAAAGAGAACTTCCGGGGCTGCTTCGGAGAGCAAGAAGGCTCATGAGATAAGTAAGCGAGTTCAAAGCAAGGAGAGGATTTTGCAGAGCGTTAATGGCAACGGGTCTTTTACTGCAACAATATATTTTTTAACATAAATATTCACTGTACTTTTTACCACTGCTTGTGTAAGTGGATCTATAATCTGATTCTGGGGTGCTGGAGTGTCCAACTGGTGGTTTCGGGATTCTTTCTGTGGCAAACAAAGAATGGAACAAAACAAGCATAAATGGCACTAGAGTTTCACATTTATTAGAGATGGAGAAAAGAAAAAAACCCAGGAGGGTAGGAGGGAAAAATGAGCTCTGCAGAATGAGCTTAAGCGAAGGAAATGTAAGAAATAAAGGAGGAGAAAGAAAAATAAAAACACACTCTACCACCTAGGATGGACTACCATGAAGAGACACAATGTCCAGTGCCCAATGGCGACTGGCCTGTTTTCATATCCCCCACACTGCTGTCCTGTCCAAGGCGTCCTATCCAAAACCTCCTGGAGAGCTTGCAGGAAGCCCACATGGGCGACTTTGGGAATTTTTCTGGGCACGTGTCCCAGGATCTTGTCACCTCTCATTCTCAGCTAGTTACAGCCACATGCCATTTCCTGTCTCATGTTTAAATGGACACAAGTGTAGTATATGTGTATCTACGTGTACATACACACATACATTTGTGTAGATTTCTGTATATGTTTGCTCATGTATGCAAGCATGTGTGTGATAACATTTCCATTCACAATTATATGTACGTGCATGTCTGTGTAAACAAAAAATGTCTTTGAGCTCAACACTTTATTACATAGCCTTAGGATTATTTTCTATCCTTACTTTATACACTCTTAATATTTACAGAATTGTCCTCAGCCCCACGTGCTGTTTCCATTCAGGGACTTCCTCTCTGATGATGTGGGTGACTCCACAGCTCCAAGCGGTCTCTCTTTTGAGATGGGAATGTCACACATGTCACAGGGCAGTGCAGACCCCTCCTCCAGGTGTGTGGAAACTGAGACCAGTTTGTTAGACAGGGACAAGGTGTTGGAAAGAGAGTCAGCTGTGTCTCCCGACTTGTCGTTCCTGTTTAGGAGGCAGGAACAGGCACTTGGGGTGACATGTGGGGACCCAGCCTCGTGGAAACCCCAATCTGGCACTGACATTGGGCAGGCGCATAGCAATGCTTCCCGTGACCTTGGGATGCTCCTGTGTGTCATGAAGTGCAGAGGCGAGGGTACCCAGTGTGTCTATAGCTCCATTCCCTGCCTCTGAGGTAGCCCTAGACAGGCACCCTCACCCCCATTTCTCTCCTTGAACCTTGATATCAGCCTCTTCACTTGCAGCTCCCACTCTCCCATCCCCCAGGCCTCTGTGGTTGGACAGACCGCCCTCCAGCCCAGCCTGAGCGGGGCACACCTCTAGGTAGAAGCCTCTGTCTCTGGGGCTCTGCTTGCTCCTGAGGCCATAGGTCTGAATACTCAGCAGAGTCCTGCTGTCCCGTGCCCTGGCCACAATGGCCATTCCCAAAGATGCTCTCCTTTTTCTGTCATGAGCTCCACTTCAGAGCTTGGCCAACAACTGGTAAACCACTATTGAGAGCAAAGATGGAGAATCACTCCACCTAGGCAGGGGACAAGTTTAATATGATGACACAGTTTATTATGATTTATAAAACAATGTCTGTTTCATAGAATCATTCTGTGTTCTAGGAAAAGGACGTCACACACGTGTGTGCAGAGAATGCTGGGCATGCAGAGAGAAGGAGCTGCTGAGGCCACCTTCGCCCTGACTTGCAGCTGCTGTGGATGTCCTGTCTTTGGTGAGCAGCCCGCCTTCCCTCCTGGAGCTTGGCCCTGGGCCTCTGTTTCAGACTTTGTTCCCATCGCCACCTCACTACTGTTAAATAGACAGGGTCCTCTTCTGTCCTTTTCAACACTGTGCAGCATGTCATCATTTCTGTAAACCTTCGAGTGTTTATCTGGCACTTTTATGAGTTCCGTAGGTGACGTGCAGACTTCAGTTCCCAGCCCTTCCCTTACAAAGGCTCTTCCTCCTGACGATGGGCCCGAGTCTTCCAGGCTGAACTGCAGAGCTGGCATCGCTCCTGGTACAAAAGATTCATGATTTCTGTTGAACCTAGCTGGACTCAAAGCAAAGCTTCCTATCACATTTATTTTTTTTTTATTTTATTTAAGGAGAAAAGAAAAGAAAGAAAAATAAACAGTGAAGGGGTACAAGTTATACAGATTTACAGAAGAAAAAAATGCGCAGTAGGAAATCACTAGTTAATGGATTACATATTGCCATCTTAGAAATAATTGTTCAAGTCACAAAATTAAAGCTTGTAGAGTGGACATTCCAACAATGATACTGCAAACAGTTCTGTTCAATGATCCAATAAAACTCTGTGATATCATTTTCTATCTTATACATTTAAATATACATGCAGTTATATAGTTTAGAGCACTTTCTTTTCCTCTCTTTTGTACAATGACTATTACACATTTTGGGTTTCATTGCTCCCACGGTTCTTATTGCTTTTTTGGAAGAGAGTAAAACCAAATGTGACATAACAGAACAGAATCGGTCAAGTCAAAAGGGTGGACATAATGGATTATCTGGTGGTGAAACACTATTCTGCTTAAATGGTTATGTTTTGATCTGCCCTGTTTCGCTGTTATGCCCTCTTTTTTCTCAATCTCCACTCCATTATTTACTTTTTTATTTTTATCCATTTAATTAAAGGGAAAAATATAACAGGATATAATATAGTAACCCACTTTGACTTTCTATTATCTCGATTTGAAGCCCTGTATTACTCTCACCATCTTGTTTTTGACTGAGGTTCCTCTATTCTGTTTTGCTGGATAGTATCAGGTTCGAAAGTTTAGGCATCAGCTGAGAAGATAATGAGATTCATTATAACGCCCATTCTCGTTGACTTTTATCTACTTTTGAAGACCTACAATATCTCCAATGTTTTGGTTTTGTCGGTTTTATTCTTTACGGTTTTGTTCAATTGTATAACAACTAATGATATAGGCAATTCTATTAGAAATAGCGGGAGGCATTATGGTAACCATTGTTGATCACCTTGTATTATGTTTTTATATTATCTATTATGTCCTATTACATTTAAAAGTGTCAAATAAGGGGGCCAGTCAGCTCTGTAATAAAGTGCCTGGCCGACAAGCGCCAAGTCCTGAGTTTGACACCCAGTCCCTCCCCTCAGCAGTATATTCAGTTAGGTTTCTTTACCAAAAAATTAAACTCGCAATAGACATATCTTATTCTAAGTAGTTGAATGGAAAAAAAGCTGAGTGTAACTTTTTAAAAACAAATGCAACCTCAGCCATAAAAAGCCAGTGTAATGCTGGAGAACCTAGCAAGAATCCTGGAGTAGAGGCCTGTGTTCTCCCCTGGTTGTGGCTCTAAATGTCTGAGCACAGGCGATTCCCTTCTTTCAGGAGCTTCCTCTCCTCACTGCTAAAAAGTAAGGTGGATCAGTTTTGTCATGGTTGTCATGCTGAACTATCTACACTGTCATCACTGTTTTCCTTTCTTTTCCTTATGATGCTTTACCCCAGCCAGAGACGCATGTCCATCATGAGGCTCTTTCCTTCCTCCTTTCCCTAATATGTAACCCTCCCACTCATTACCACTAAAACATCACCATTACCATCGTCCGGGGAGCTCCCCAAGGCAGAGGTTGTGCATCTTTATTCGTGTTTCCATCCCTAGAATGTGACACAGGTCCTGGGAAATTGTAGGTGCTCAGAAAGTGTGTGTGAATGCATGAATGAGCAAGTGGGTGAACTTGCTTATCTCAGAGCAAACGAGACGTGAAATGGAATTTCAGTGTTTGTATTAATGCAGCTAACAAAGCCCATTCAACCTCAGGGTTCCTGAGCAAACAGGTGTGGCTTCTCTGCCTTTTTTACTATCTCTTCAGAGCAGTGCTGTCTCACAGAACTTGCCCATTGTGCAGTACAGTCGTCACGAACACAGTGAGTACTGGGCTCTTGAGTACGGCTGAGGAACTCGATTTTAAATTTTATTTCATCTCAGATAACTTACATTTAAATAGCAAAGTAGTCAATTAGCTATGGTGTTAAATTGTACAATTTTACTGAAATGATTTAGTGTAGATTTTATTGGTGTTTGCCATATGTAGTATTTACTTTCATTGTGAGTTGGTACACGCACATAACTCATCTGAATATTTTTTACATCTTCTTATCTACAATTCCATCATGACTGCATGTTTTATTTTTCCGCTGTACTTCCTTCGTGCTCCATCTCTTGACCTCTTCCCTCTTGAGAAAGATCTCTCTCTCTCTACTTCCTACTATATAACTTTTATTTCATTATTTCTATTTTGAAGTTTCTCTTGGAAGAGGAGATTTTGTCTTGAATTTTGTGGTATTTTGGAATGTCTGTAAATTAGTTGCTAATTGTCTTCTGAATTGTCTCTGGAGACCCCAATATAATATTGCCACATTGTGATCAAAAGCTCAATACTTGGGTTTTTGGGGGGCACTTCCTCTTTTAACCATGGCAATCCATGCTTCCCTTTCCCTATTTTTCTCTCTGCATAGGGTTGCTAGGAAGACTAAATTTGTTAGGTGTGATGTTCTGGTAATAGTGCCCGGCTGGCCCTTCTCACAGTGGGAAAGTGAAGGCGAGAGGGAGAGGCAGAAGGGCTGTGCTGAGTCAGGTGAGTCTCTTCTAAGCTCTTCTAAGCTCTTCCTCACACTCCTATCTTGAATTTGGACAAGAGTAGAAATATTTACACCATGGTAATTGGCTTAATCTAAAAAGGCATGAATTTGTAGTGTTATTAGTCTATAAAAGGATTTTTGCACCATGACAGCAAAAGAATGGATACTTAGAAAAATTGTTGAAGGAATGTTAAACTGGGATGAAATCTGCACCGTGAAATTCTGCCTCTTATGGCTACCTGAAAAATGTGCAGGACCTCTGCTTACCAGTCTTCAGCCAATACCTTCCCCAAATCTCCACCAGTGTATCCACAAATACATGTGTTAAAGGCCAAACTTAGCTGTTATTTGGGGACCTTGGTCAGACTTTACTTCTCTTTAGAATACACAAGGAACAAATACCTTGGGACCTTCACTGTAGTCACACTGAATTCCCTACACTGTTCCATAACATGTTACACGTGGGGCTAAAAACCGCTTTCTGATTCCTGCCATCCCTCAGGGCAAGTCCAACCTCATCACCACCGTGAGCCAAAATTCACAGTGGAGACTCAGTTCCTCTCTCCCTCTTCTCTTCCAACCTCCACTTTCCTCACACTCCTTGAGCAGCCAGTGCATCTACCTGCTTTCAGACCTCTCTGTTTAGCAAGATAAAAGATGAGATGTCCACCATGGGTAGAGAAAAAGTGCTCTGAAAACCAACCATGCACCTACATAGACTCCCTCCTTCTCTCAGGCCCCCACTGCTGCCTCTTACTTTCTTTTTGAAACAAATGACTGCTTCTTTGTGATTAAGGCTATCAGAACCTCCCATCAACAATCAATAGGCTCTCAAGCAAGCCAGCTCCCCCTCTCAGGGAGTCACCAAGAGGACAGGCAGAGAAGAGCTGGGAGACATCAAGGTAAAAATTCTTGTTTCCGTCTACAGCTCTTGATTTATATAAAGCAAAATTCCCACCCAAAGTTGTCTGAGCCCTTACATGAAATTCCAAAATCAGCATCTAAAATTACTTCTCCCTGTCAAGCTGAAGCATACAAACATCCTGACCTCTCCCCTCCACCACTGTTCCCAGGGAAGAACCTTCCTTAGGAGCAGTCTCTGGGAATTCTGTCAGATCCCTGGAGGCTTTGCTGCTCCTCCCACAGGTGGAGAGCAATGTGTCTCAGTTCTGATGTTTATCAGCTGGGTGGACAGAGCCCACCTCTTGTCTCCCTTGTCTCTGCCTCTGCACTCAGCAGTTGAATCCTCTGTGCGTGACAGATGCTCTGTGAATACTTTGCATATCATGGCCCAGGGAGTCTGAGGATGGAAACTAATGCGTGTGGTCAGGAAGGCATCTGCCTTGCACCACTGCCTGCGCTCCTCACAAAACTCACAACTGAAAGCACTGTATTTACCATTTACAGGTGGAAAGCTGAGGCCCCCAATCATGGATAATTGTTACAACTCTGCCTTCCAGCTTAATGTATTTCACTTAAATTATCTGGTTTTTAAAAGCTCATTTCTCATTTAAAAACTAATTCTATAAAGTTTGCTCCTTGTAAATGATTCAAACAATGTAGATTATGCAGAAAGCCTTTGATCTCTCAATTCTGTTCATATCCTAGAGACAATAGGCATTTTTTAAAAGATAATCACTATTGTCTGATATTCCAGTCTTCTAGGCTTTTTCCTGTAAATTCATATACATACATGTACATAAGTAGGTAATCGTATCAAAAGTTACATAAAATGAATATTGTCACTATGGTTCTGTATTTGCTGTTTAAAAATGATATGATTTATCTAAGAGACAAATACACTTAACCATCAATGTTTATCTAATATCAGCACATTTAGATCTGCTTTCTTTCTTTCTTTACTTCATTGTAGGTTATTTCAGAGCATTGGTGTACCAAAATATTTACCAGTAAACAAGTTTCCAGGTGTATCACTTAAGATTTTCTTTGTGGCTGTGCATAAACATTTCTCTAGGAAGCTATGCTCTGGTGGCATTGGAAGGTGTTAGGGACCTCACCCTGAAAATATTAAGGGAGACCATCCCATGATGCTTCATACACACGGGCTTCTTCAGGTTTCATCTCCATCACTGAAGATGGAACCTTTGAATAAATCCTCACAAGACCTGGATGTTATCGGCATTTTGAATACTATTTGTTTATTGCTTTGCATATATCATCTTACACCCCTTGTCCCTGGTTACAAATAGACTTCACATTTTGAGTTGCTTATTAAAGGGAGTGTTCAGGACCTTTTTCCCTTCTTGTGGCATGGAGAGAATGTCCACCCAAGATGCTTCTGTCCAGTTCTGGCTCCCCTCACTAAGTCCATTTCTCAGCCCACGTGTAGGAAGAAAAGTTGTTCCTTGGATTGGTCAGTGGCTAGACCTTTGTGCCTGTCTATGTCTATTAGGTGGTGGTGGTGGGGTTCTTGTGCACAGTTCTCTCTTGCCTGCCCACAGTTCTTGGTCTTGTCCCTGTGTGGAGCTGCCCCAAGGCCAGCCCACTGCACACCCTGTTGATCCAACTCCTTGTCATTCAGCTGCCTGAGAAGGGGATACCAGGGCCACCCTACAGATGCAGGTACACATAGCTTTCTTTTATGGACAGGCAGCTTGCATTCTGTATTCAGGGCAAGAATAAAACTCAGATCACACTTGGTTGAAGAAAAGGTGTGGTTATCAAAGCTTGTAAGAAGGCAAATGATCAGAGCTTAGGATACAAGCAGCATCATTGGTGAGAAGTCATCACAAAAAAATACAATTTTCAAAGTAGAGCTTATTACATTAATTTTACACAGCAAAAATATGAAATGTTGAGTTGTATAAAGTCTCTTGCCAATTCTCTTGAAGGTAATGTCACCCAGTTTCAAAATCTAAAAGCCAGAAAACAAATCATGATATATTTACCTGCTGTGGAAGAGTAAAACTAAATAATTAATGCCCCCAAATACAGCCCCAGATATGGTAACCCATGAAGTAACTTCAAGATTCCTGTGTTTTCTATAAGACCGGAGCACGAGTTCACAATTATTTTTGAAATCCTATGTCCTTGTCCTTTTGCTTTCTTCTGTGGAGAATTTTGCTGTCATTTGCTAAATTTCTTATATATCAGTGGCTAAGATAGAAAGATCACCCACACTCACCCAATCCAATTCAGTTCCACAAAGTTACACTGAGCACCTGTTATGTATCACACCAGGCTGTGTTCTCAGAATAATCAGTGTGTGGAACACCACTTGACCTGACTAGTGACCCACTGACCCACCTCCCTTGCAGGGGATAGGAGGATGGGGCAAGATGGAGCTGTGGAAGGATTTTGGCCAGGTCTCATCCTGGACAGCTCATCTTCTGTCCCCTATCCTGCTGCGAAGGTGCCAGTGTGGGCACAGGGACTGAGTATTTCACGGTTGATGCTCATAATGTCCCTGGCTAAGGGATGCTCACACGTGAACTTGGGGACCACTGCCTCCTGGGCTGGCTTTTGCCTTCTATGACTTCCTAAGCACATTTTGAGAGACAGAGCCACTGGCTAAAGACACCAGGGTCACTCAAAAATTGGGAGAGGCTGTGACCAATGGCCAAATGCTGAAGTCTGTCTGAAGCGACGTATGGCATTTAGAGGAGAGGACGACAATGTGTCCTCCTGTAATACAGTTTTCAAAATCATAAACATTCACTGAAATTTTACACCACACCTAAACACCTAAACCCACAAGTTTTGTGGTATGATTCTGAGTGCTTCCCCTGGAAACATCTGTGGGTGACAGCCCCGAGAGACTGGCCCAGTCAGAGGAACCTGGCCCTGGCCTTTCATGGCTGTTTATATCTCAATTTGCCTTTAGAAAACTTCAGTTGGGAAGCTTAGAGATGCTGTGTAAACTACCTGCTATACAAGGAACCTCAGTGATGTGGTAGGAGATATAGAAAGGTGTAGAACTTGGGGTTCAGGGGACGAAGTGAGCCATGGGGTGAGGAGTTCAGCTGTCCCCCACCCTTCACCCCCACTTCCTCCTCCAGCACCCAGATTCACCAGCTCAGAGAGCTAACTTAACTGATCAGGGTGTCCCCATTGAGTTCAGTCACAGACTCGATATTTTTGAAAGTGGTCACCAGCTTGTGGTCTCCTTCCAAGTTAATCACAGTCTGTCAGGGACAGAGAGACCTTTGAGCACCATCTGTGGAGAGGGAGATCCTCCCTAATGATTGGCTCTCCAGTGCAAGTGTCAGCTGATGACAACCAACATGCTCTGGTCCCTGTGCTCTCTATCCTGGATGCTAACAGGGGATAGGATCATGGAAGACAGAGAGAAAACATCAGGACATCTCTGTCCGACATCGGTTTATGTTGCATGATCTAGAAAAGAGCACAGGACATCTGAGTGGTGCCCAGGACAACTGCTGGAACAAAAGCACTGAGATCTCAATTCTCCAAGCCAGTGGAGGGAGATGGCATCAGAATTCAGGGCCTGCACACATATTGCTCTGGTCTGTGTGGGTCCTCTGGGAACACCCGTCATCTCTGCTGTGCTCTCCTCTCCAGCCTGAGCCACCCAGCAGGAGGAAGCACAGAAACACAAGCAGGAGCACAGGACCCTGCTGAGCTTGAAAATTCCCCTCCATGGACACTTGGAGAAGGCCTGTGGGAGAACCATGATGGGTCTGTCCCTTCCTACAGGTTGAGCCCAGGAAATCCTGTAATATGCTTTAGTCTACAGTGTGGCATCTACAGAGGAGAAACCAAGAGCAATAGGCATATGTGGGGACAACATGCTGAGCCCAGTTTACAGAATTATCTGGGAGAAGAGAAGGGGGCTGCTTGGTGTTGCCGGCTACACTGGTGTGTGCGTGTGTCATGGGAGAAGCAGAAGCCAGATCCTAGGGGACACTGTGTCCTGGAACCCCAGACCTATGGGGACAGAGCTGCCTTGCCCCATCCCTTCAGCATGGCAGGCTGACTTCTCCTTTGCCCAGATGAGAGAGCCACAACCATTAGCTTAGTGAGGAGGTTTTCCCTGAGAGCCTGCCTTGGCCCAGAGATTCTGGAGTTGCCAGCACTCTTCTAACACATCTTACCCCAAGACTGCTCTGGGCTCAGCTAAGGCCACAGTGATTTGCCCTGGGTTAGGACTTTTCACTGACTCCTCCCACACCTATTGCTAGATGAATTTCAGGAGAATTGGCAGGCCAAGTGCCTGCTCAAAAAACCTGAGACTTGAGATCCTGTTCTGGGCCTGGTTCTTTCCATGTGCTCCATAGAGGAGACCTCATGTTTGGGGACCAGAACCCCCAGGCAAGCCCTGGAATACAATAGGAGCTTTCTCACATGTTCTCTGCTTCTCCCAAGATATGGGTTTAGAAATGGGGTATCTAGAGTGGGAGCTGGGAGACATGGAAACTTTGAGGCGGGAAGCCCTGGGCCAGGCTCTAGGTGATGTTCTAACAGCAGAGCATTGCACATGAGCATGATCCTACCTTGACCTTCTCTCCAGTAATGCTGTCCATCTCAGCCTCCTCACCCAAGGTGAACTCATTGTGCATCACTTGGGACCCTGTAGTGATGGTGATCTTGAAGTGCTCCCCATTCTGTATGATTCTGTCAACTCATTCTTTGCCTTCTTGATGAGGTCGTCAGACAGCCCTGATGGAAATCATCTGAGGTTCAGAGACAGCAGGGCTACTGTTGCAAGGCCGAAGCAGACACTAGAAACTGTGACATGGGCAGGACAAAGTCACAGCAACTGGGGAGGTGGGAGCACCAAGGACTGTAGTATAGGACAGGAGGGGGGGTGGTCTGTCCTGGCTGCTACAACCTAGATCCTTTCTTTTCCGTAAGGAATTCCTGCCTCATACTCCCTCTCGGCCGTGTTCCCTCACAAGTTGATGGCTGTGCTGTGGGAGCATAAGCATTTCATCCTCTACACCCAGTGAAACCAGAGTTCTCCCAGGCTTGGTCTCTCAAAGCAGAAGTGATTGGAGGTAGAAAGCAGACCTGTGCCAGGCTCTCTTGGGCTCTTATAGGAATGAAGGCTCAAGGGATGTCCTGACGGCATGAGTGGCAGGTCTTGTTGCACAGATAAGGGACTCCAGACATTAAAAGCAGGTGACTTTTGGATGGAAGAAGAGCTGAACCCCAGGCTTTCCCCTGCCCGTGCTGTTTCCTTCCTCTTCTCCTTCTCCCCTCCCTCTCTGGCCACACTGTAGCCTCTGCTCACAGGGCTCCCCCTGCCTGGAACATTCTCCCCTCCCCAGGGACTTAGGGGCACCTGCTTATCTTCCCAGCCTCCCCTTCACTCCCCCATCCCTCCCTCCACACCCCTGCACTGTGGGAGGCAGCGGGTTAAAACCAGGTCCCTGGGAATCGGTGCCTGCTTCTAGTCCCAACCCAGACACCTATGTGACTCAAGTCAGGCCAGCTTACCTTTCTCAGCCTGGATTGTGAAAGGAGAAAATAATTGTACCCAACTCAGAGCCTTTGGTTGAGGATTAAATGAGTCATTGCATAGCAAGTGCTCAGTCTGCTACAGAGCCACCCTTCTGCATATTAGGGATAACCTGCTACAGTTGGTTCTGCTTTTCAATCTCTCTAAACTGTGACCTTGGAAGTCCGGTTCTTCATTCTTAGTTTCCCTGCTATGGGTCCAGCACAGTGCTTGACATGAGGTTGCCCTTGAATGTGTTAGAAGGTGCATGGCTGAGTATGTGAATGCACACATGCACACATAAATGAGTGAACAGTGTCTCCCATAGAAGACCCTGGACTCGGGCTTTGTTCCAGATCCCATCTAGCTGAGTGCTCTTTCCATGTGCCTTTTGGTGACCTTGTCCAGTGAGTAATGGCACCAGTGACATTACTGAAGTCTCCTCTAATTCTCTGTAAAGTGAACCTTGCCCCCTTCCCACCTGACACTGAATTTCCACTGCCCATAGGGCCAGACCTTCTCTGCAGTGACCAGTGGCCTTGGTGGCCTGTGCAGCACTTACCCACTGCCTCATGAAGGCCTCGAAGTTTTCCTGGCTCTGCAGTTGGTACTTGCCGGTGAAACTCATGGTGTCGATCAAGCTCCCTCTCCACTGCTGACCCACAGCTCTATTGGCCTGGCTGCCCACTACTGTCCATTTTATAGGGCTCCTTCCTCTGTATATGAGCCATAGGTTTGTGGCTATAATTTCTTTAAGACTAGGATCAAACATTAACTCCCAAGACCTATAATCAGTGATAAGAAAAATCTAGGAGGGGCTTAGCTAGCAGTGTTTTGCTTTAATCAGAAAATATTAAAGGGCCATCAAATGCAGACTCCAGGGCCCTCTAGTATTTAAGGTGACATTGCACTCCTCATGAACTCAGTGCGTGTGCATGAAATGTGTGTGTGCATAGTATACACATACCAAGTATTATCAAATAAACATATAATATTTAAATTTTTAAATGTACTAAGTAAAAGGCACGTTGTCATCATTTCTCCTAAAATAGCCCCCCTTGCTTCAAACACTCATCCCTTCAGTCCTGCCACTTTCGGAAGCAGTTCTGGAAGTCTTCCTTTGTGGATGTCCTCGTGAGAGATGATGAACCAGTATGGTGCATGGGGCTGCCGAGTGCCTGCCTGTGGCAGGCTCTAAAAACACCATGGTGTGACCTCAGCCACCGTGTTCCCCTCCTCTGTCTGGCAGAGTGTAACTTCTGGCTCTTCCCCAAAGTGCAAAGGATCATGATAGCGAAGTCCTTGAATCAGTGCAGAACATGGTGCAGTGATGACAGTGGGACTGAAGACATGAAAGAGGACTTCCGGGGCTGCTTCGGAGAGCAAGAAGGCTCATGGGATAAGTAAGCGAGTTCAAAGCAACGGGGAGGATTTTGAGGAAGACTAATAGCAATGGGTCTTTTATTTCAATAATATATATTTTTAAATATAAACATTCACTGTAGCTTTTACCACTGCTTATGTGAGTGGATCTATAATCAGATTCTGGGGTGCTGAATTGTCCAGCAGGTGGTTTCAAGGTTCTTTCTGTCCCAAATAAAGAATGAACAAAACAAGCATAAGTAGTGCTAGTGTTTCGCATTTACTATAGATGGTTAAAAGAAAAAACCCCAGGAGGGTAGGAGGGAAAAATGAGCTCTGCAGAATGAATTTAGCGGGGCTGGGGAGTTAGCTCAGCGGCATAAGCGCCTGACTTGCAAGCAGGCAGTCGTGAGTTCAATCCCTGGTACCGAAAAAGACAAAAAAAAAAAAAAAAAAAAACAAAAAACAAAACAAAAAAAACCAAGCCAGAATGAACTTAGCCTAAGAAAGTGTAGCAAATAAAGGAGGAGAAATAAAAATAAAAACACACTCCACCACATAGGATAGACTACAATGAAGAGACACAATGTCAAGTGCCTAATATATTCCCTTTTTTATATTCCCCACACTGCTGTTGTGTCCAACTCGTCTTATGTAAAGCCTCCTGTAATTCTTGCAGTAAGCGTACGTTGGGGGGCTCTGAGAATTGCTCTGGGCACGTATCCCAGGATCTTGTCACCTCTCATTTCTCAGCTAGTTACAGCCACATCCCATTGGCTGTCTCATGTATATATGGACACGTGTAGTATGTGTGTATCTACATGTGCATATGCATGCACACATACATACATGTACATATTTATGATTGCCCATGTGTATGCATGCATGTGTGTGACAAGGGTCAGTGCACATGTACACATACGTGCATGTGTGAATATGTGTGTGTAAGCAGAAAAATGTCTTTGAGCTCAACACTCTATTATGTAGTGTTAGGATCATTTTCTATCCTTACTTCACACACACTTAAGTTTTACAGAAATGTCCTCAGCCCTCACTGCTGTGACTCCACAGCTCCAAGTAGTATCTATTTTGAGATAGACAGGTCACACATATCACAGAGCAGTGCAGACCCTTCCGCCAGGTGTGTGGAAACTGAGACACATTTTATTAGGCAGGGACAAAGTAAGGGAAAGAGAGACAGCAGTGTCTGCTCACTTGTCCCTCCCTGCCTAGGAGGCAGGAACAGGGACTTGGAATGACATGTGGGGAATCTGGCCTTGTGGAGCCCCCGTCTGGCATTGGCCTTGGGCAGACAGCATAGAAATGCTTCCAGTGACCTTGGGGTGCTGCTATTTGTCATGAAGCGCAGAGGTGAGGGTACCTAGTGGGTCTACATCCCACTTCCTGCCTCTGAGGCAGCTCTAGGCAAGCACCCTTCCCCTGATTTGTCTTTCCCCTGTCCCTGGACCTTGGCATTGGCCTCTTCACTTGCAGCCTCCACTCTCCCATCCTCCAGGCCTCTGTGCTGTGGGTGGCCAGACTGCCCTCCAGCCCAGCCTGAGCGCGGCACTCCTCCGGGTAGAAGCCTCTGTCTCTGGGGATTTGGTTCCTCCTGGATACTCAGGACAGTCCTTGCATCCTGTGTCCTGACCACAATGACCACTCCCAACAGTGCTGTCTCTTTACTGCTGTGAGCTCCAATTCTGAGCTTGCCAAACAACTGGTAAACAATTGTCATCGCCTGAACTTCTAGAAGGACTGCAAGCCCTGAAGAATCCAGCTCCAGTTTCACTCCCTCTGCAGGTCACAGACACCAGGTCAGCTGAACACATCAGGGGTGTCCATGCCTCTGCTTTTGTGTCCATGTCAATCCCTCTCCATTCTTTCTGTCTCCTCCTCTGTGAATCCTAAGCTCAGCTCACAAATGTCCCCACGCTGACCTTCTGGGATGATGTCTCCTGTGCCCTCTGTCTCTGTGCTCTCCCCTTGGTGTTCTCACACTGCACAGAAAAGCAGCTCGGTTTGTGAGACAGAGATGGACAAAAGGTAATGAGGCAGTGGCTCCTCTGGTTAAGAGAAATGAGAGATGAGGAGCAGTGAGGTCAGCGCTCCAGCCTTCCAGCACTGGATGACTGGAGCTGGACAGCAAGGGTGTGCGTGTGAGTGTGCATGTGAGAATGTGTAAATGATTAGATAGAGATGATGAATGAGACCCCAGATCTGTGTGTCAGCAAGAGCTACACCTGCCCAGGCAGGGGCTGCCCTTTTGACGGGAGATCATGAAAGGCCAGTGTATCTTCCTCCCCGGGGAGAATAAGAGGAGGGGGGCCAGTGAGGGGGTTTGCAGCAAGGAGCCACTAAGACACCTGCAGTGGCCATGAGAGAGGATTCTGGCAGTGTTGGTGGGGAATTTGAAGCTGCTTGCTTGCTGCAAGGTGAATTCCCATCCACCTGTAATTCTATTCCCTAACACCTCCCCAGCTTCAGGAAGCTGCAGGGCATAAGTCATTGTAAATGCACATGTAAAATGATGAAGGCTGGCTTTCATTTTTGGATTGGTGTGACAGAGCTGAGACCACACTCATACAAGCAGCTCTAGGGAGCAGAATGTCCACATGAGTGTCTTTCTGCAGCCAATGCCAGAAATGTTAGATAGAGCTTGGGGGAATTCATCTAGATCCCAGCGGGACATGTGATTCCAGATAGCATCTGAGTTACACACGCTACCTGAAGCTCTGGGCTTGGGTAAACAGCTGGCCTATGTCTGTCTGATGACCTTGTAGTGGACTAAATTCGAAACCATTCCTGAGACCTTGTCCACGCCTCTTTACCTACTGCGTAAAGAACTCTTCCAATGGTTGTCAGGAAGTGAATCGGTCAGGATTATGGATCAATAAAGCTTAGTGGCTGGAGGTGTGGCTTAATGCATACATGAAGTCTTGGGTCTGATCTCTCATATGCCAGAGACAGAAGGAGAAAGTGGAGGAGGAAGAGAAGCGAGAGGGGAAGGCAGAGAGGGAGAGGGGAAAGCCTAAAAACAGTGAAGAATCAGCAAGGTAAGCAACAGAGAAAGAGTCATCACCATCCCAACCCAATCCCATTTACCAGGTACTTAGTTTGGGAAGATGTACTGGCCATAGCCGGCTCCACCATTCTCTCAATCACCAAGTGACTGCCTGACACCTGCCTTACATATAGGAAGACCTGGCATAAAAACCTCACATCCAGCCCAATCTTCTCTTGATCATTGCTTTCAAATGATTTGTCATGCAGAGGGATTTCTGTGCTTTAAGGTGGGGAATGGGAAGGAGGTGGATGAAAGCTTCCCCAAAGGGCAAGTCAGCGTCAATCCTAGAAGCCTCTGAGCAAGCTTGACTCAAATGCAACTCTTCTGGTATCTGAAAAAGAGCAGGACCTGTGAGCCACTCTGCCCTGCACTTCCTGCTTATCCTATGCCAGGAAGCAGCTACAGACTGGGTTACAACACAAGGACATGGATGGCTCAGAGGCTGGTCAAGGTCCTGGCCCAGTGGGTGAAGAAGTGATAGCTTCCTGGCAAGTGGACAGCCCTACAGGCAGAGAAGCAGGTAAACCAGGGCAAAGATCTCCTCCCTCTCCGACCCCAGACACACCATTCATAGCAACCTTAGAGGCCTCTTTGTGCACAGATGTGTGTGTGTGCTGAGGCCACAGAGAGTGGTCATTACATAAATGAATACTTGTGAGTTTTTGTACTAAAAATTGGGAGAGGAGGTGAGCATATACAGGAAGAGATAAGCTTAATAACAATGACAAAGTTCAGTTGGATTTCATGAAAAAAACAAAAGATTTCCAACTCCATGGATACAGCTTTGGATTTTGGTCACCCAAAGATTCTGGCCCAATCCAGTGCCCACCAGATGCTCCCTGTCAACCTTGATGGCCAGTATGCAGACACTTGGAGAGGAGTGGAGGTGTCTCTTTGGAGACAGGATATAATAGGCATGCATTTTACAATGTATGTGTGTCTGACCCAGGGTGCCTACAGGGCCAGCTGCCCATCTGCTGGGAGCCAGGGACTTTGGAGGTGATCTAGGGAGTTCTTACTGCTGCTAGACCAGGGCTGCAGAGGAGAAGGACCTGGGTTTGGACCAGCTCTTCTTAAGAACCTGTGTGATCCTGGAGCCTCTAATGGTTCCATCTCCTTACCTGTGGAATGGTCATAAACCCCTTAAGGATGTGAGGCTTCACACCCCTCAAGGATGTGAGGAATGACAACAGTGCCTG